TTTCTTTGCATCGACTATTCTCTATCGAAGACGCCCAGGATATGGCGCGAAAAATTGAGGTGCAATTGGAGAGGACTAGCCTTAGTACTCGTGGTAGCAATTATTCGGGTCGTGGGTCATTCGAAAAAGGAAGACAGCCTGATATTGCAAGTTCTAGTCAACAAACACCTTATTCGAGCCGAGTTTCAAGGGGTACTAGTGGGACGCCTAAGGAAGCAGTCGCAACAAACAATCGTACTCCCAATCATAATACCCAGAATCCATATGCCAAGCCCCAACCGATCAGGTGCTACAAGTGTAATGAGTTAGGCCATCGTTCCAGCGATTGTCCTCGTCGTAGAATGGCCAATATCATTGAACATGACGAAGATGTGTATGAGGAAGATTGGGAAAAGGAAGAAGAAGTGGGAGTGGAAAATGAAGTGGGCGAGCAAGTTAATTGTGTAGTGCGTCGTCTATTGCTTACTCCGCGGACAGAAGATACCCAGCGGAATCAGCTTTTCCGCGCTCGCTGTACTGTCAACAACAAAGTATGCGATATCATTATTGACAACGGAAGTTGCGAGAACATAGTGTCAAAGGCCTTGGTGGATCACTTGCAACTAAAGACGGAGCCGCATCCCACGCCCTACACGATCAGGTGGATACGCAAGGGAGCAGAACTTAAGGTAAACCAATTATGCCGTTTGCCTATTTCAATCGGAAAATCATATCAAGATACTATTGTCTGTGATGTTGTGGAGATGGATGTGTGTCATGTTTTACTGGGTCGACCATGGCAATATGATGTTGATGCTACACACCGAGCTAGGGAGAATACGTATTCTTTTGTGTGGAAAACGACTAAAATTACTTTGAGACCGAAGAGTAATTCCCCTCAGATTGTGAAGAAGCAGAATGCAGGGGTTATGATGAACATCCGAAAGCGTGAAGGGATGTATATGATTGTGGACAAGGGCGACCAGCAAGTTGTGGTTCGTGTTCCCGACATTCTTAAGCCCTTATTAAAGGTATTCAGTGATGTTATACCTGAGGATTTACCTGACGGATTACCTCCTTTGAGGGATATCCAGCATGAGATTGATTTTCTTCCAGGTGCTAGTCTTCCTAATTTGCCGCATTATCGAATGAATCCGAAGGATAATCAGATTCTACAGGAGCAGGTGGGAGAGCTCCTTCGAAAGGGCTTCTTGCGTGAAAGCAAAAGTCCATGTGCAGTTCCTGCGCTTCTCACGCCAAAGAAAGACGGCACCATGCGTATGTGTGTAGACAGTCGTGCCATTAACCGGATTACTATCAAGTATAGGTTTCCGATTCCACGACTTGATGATAACAGACTTTCTGGATCACGGATTTTTACGAAGATTAACCTTCGAAGTGGATATCACCAAGTTCGCATCCGCCCCGGCGACGAATGGAAAACGGCCTTCAAGACAAGTGCGGGATTGTACGAATGGCTTGTCATGCCATTTGGACTCACTAACGCACCTAGTACTTTCATGCGTTTGATGACTCAGGTTCTCAAACCTTTTATTGGCAAGTTTGTGGTAGTTTTCTTTGATGATATACTTATATATAGTCTGAATGGGCGTCAACACATGGAGCACTTGAGAGATGTCCTACTAACCTTGCAGCAAAATAAATTGTTCATTAATCTGAAAAAGTGTAGCTTCATGACAGAACGCCTCTTGTTTTTGGGTTTTGTTGTTGGCGCGGATGGACTTCACGTTGATGCAGATAAGGTGGCTGTGATTCGCAATTGGCCAGTTCCAAAGAATGTTGGCGAGGCTCGAAGTTTCCATGGTCTTGCAACGTTCTATAGGCGTTTCATTCGAGATTTCAGTACTATTATGGCCCCGATTACTCGACTGTTTAAAAAAGGGCAAATTCCATTGGGGAGATGAAGCTTCGGCCAGTTTTGCTCTTATAAAAAAAAAAACTCTCCACGGCGCCGGTATTGATGCTCCCTGATTTTGAGAAAGTGTTCAAGCTGGACTGTGATGCTTCCGACGTCGGGATTGGCGCTGTCCTTTCCCAAGAAGGTAATCTTATAGCCTTCTTTAGTGAAAAACTTAATGAAATTCGCCAGCGTTGGACGTATGAGCAGGAATATTATGCTGTAGTGCGGGCTATAAAGCATTGGCAGTCCTATCTTTATCAGCAGGAATTTGTTCTTAATACCGATCATCAGGCTCTTAAATATATCAAGAGTCAGAAGCACTTAAATCGAATGCATGCACGATGGGTTTCTTTTCTGGAACAATTAATTTTGTGCTTCGTCACAAAGCGAGGCCATTTAAATAAAGTGGCGAGATGCGCGAGTCGACGTCTTTGCGACACTCGTGACCATGCGCACCGATGTTGTCGGTTTTGATCACCTATGTTCTCTTTATCCTGAGGATGATGATTTTGGTGAGATATGGGAGAAGTGTTCTGAAACAAGTTGTCATGGCGATATGATAATTCAAGAAAATTTCTTGTTCTTTGGTAATATATTATGCATTCCACATGGTTCCTTACGTGAACAACTCATTCGAGAGCTTCATGGTAGTACTCTCGGCGGACATTTGGGGCGAGATAAAACTATAGCCTTGGTGGAGGAGCGGTACTATTGGCCTCAACTGAAGCGAGACGTGGGGCGATTTGTCAGTAAATGCTACATTTGCCAGACCGCTAAGGGCCACTCTCAGAACACTGGTCTTTATACCCCATTGCCTATTCCTTCGGGTCCTTGGGTAGACATATCGATGGACTTCGTGTTGGGACTTCCTTGCACTCAACGAGGTTTAGATTATGTTTTCGTGGTGGTTGACCAATTTTCAAAGATGGCGCACTTCATCCCTTGTAAGAAAACTTCGGATGCTTCGCATGTGGCAAGTTTATTCTTTCGTGAAGTAGTCCGTCTCCATGGTGTGCCGAAGACAATCACTTCCGATCGTGACACGAAATTTCTGAGCCATTTTTGGCGTACTTTATGGCGTTTGTTTGGGACTGATTTACAGTATAGTAGTTCTTTTCATCCCCAAACGGACGGTCGGACGAGAGTTGTGAATCGTACTATGGCGGATATCATTATTGCCTCTGATGATATGCCTAAGCAATGGGACCGGTATCTTGCTCCTTTGAGTTCGCCTTCAACAACTCGGTTAACCGCTCTACCTGTACATCTCCCTTTCAGGTCGTTTATGGGCGTACACCACAACATACTCTGGATTTGGTTCCCTTGCCCAAGATTCCAGGCTATAGTGTCGCGGCAGAGAATTTGGCGACCAGAATTAATGAAGTCCAAGCTGCTGTGGCTAGTCAATTGGTTGCTTCTAATTCAAAGCATAAGGAGGATGCTGCCAAACGGCGACGTTCGAAAATTTTTGAGGTAGGCGATGAGGTAATGGTTTTCCTACGAAAGTAGCGTTTTCCTGTAGGTACCTATAATAAACTGAAGCACAAGAAGATTGGTCCTTGCTGTATCCTGAAGAAGATCAACGACAATGCCTATGTAGTTGAACTTTTGGGTGATCTCAACATTTCCCCTACATTTAATGTGGCAGACTTATTTGAGTATCATGCTTCTGATACACCCCTCTATCATGATCATAACTCAAGGGCGAGTTTTTTCGAAGAGGGAGGGAATGATGTAGAACAGTTAGCCTGTGATTATCTTGAACAATGTGATCATCGTAATCATCGGAAATCTCGGCAATTTTTCTGATTTTGGGGAAAACAACAATTCAAGCAGTTTCCTATAATATCATTTAGGCAGTTTCCTATATTACCATTCAGGCAGTTTCCTATATTACCATTTAGGCAGTTTCTTTAATTATTATGTTTCCATTAGTATTAGGGGTCCTATCTCTATATATAAGATGTTCGTCTTGTAATCACAATCACAGTATTATTGAATAAAAATTTCGAGTTCTTTGGAGTTGTTCCAAATTTACGCTTTCTCTCTGCGTCATGCGCTTTCTCTCTGCGTCATGACGCAGAGAGAGAGATTAGATGTGCTGTTTTGATTTTGTGTAATTCTACACGAAATATGAGGGTATTTTAGTGGACTAGGCAATTTCCCGAACAACGACTAGCTTCTCTTCTTGTCCAGACAGACAAGGTCAAGCACTTACTTTAAAATGTAAATCTAAAATCTAATATCAAAGGATCTCAGTCCATCCAAAAAATACTCCACGTGAGATAAAATTTCGGTTCGGATAATGAAAAAATAACCAATCTTTTCTTCCGGTTTGGGTTATTCGGTTCGGTTAACCAAACCGAATTGAAATTCTCAACAAAAACCGAATGCTGTTTTTCACATCTTTCAAAACATCTATGAGAAACCTTAATATTCGGTTTTCTCTTCCAAACTGATCCGATCCGAACTGAACCGATATTCAGTTCGGCTCGAGATTCGATTCGGTTCAAGCATACGCCCCAAATCCGAACCGAACCGAACCGAATCGTTGACACCCATATCTATCAGTAGGCTGTAGGGTTAAAAAACATAATTTGCTAGTTCTTATAGATCTTCGTATGGATATAGTTGATAGTGCAAGAAAAAGGCCCATCATAAAATCGAACTGGGATGGCCCAAGTAGCTAGGGCAAGGTGAAAAGCCCAGAGGGCCCACTCTCGTCACAACCGCCACATTCGAAGGACTAACCATCATTGTCTAAGTCGTCTCGTCCACCGCCCGGAGCAACCTCAATGACCTCGAAACTCCCCCGGCACGCTCAACAGCCCCCCTCGGGTCATCGCGCTCCGCGTGTCTACAAACGGCAGCCAGGACCATCCCCTCACCACCATTATTTCTTAAACAGGCGATTGCAAAAAGGAATAGGAGTTGAGAAGGGCGCATCGAAAGGAAACAGAGACGCTCCAGCTTTTAGCAAAGATCCAGAGGCTCAAATGGGCCGAACTTAGCTTTTGGGCCCTTCGTCACTTGGGCCCGCACGTCGCGGGCCCTTTTCACGCGGCTCTTCCTCCGTTTCTCCCTCATTTCCTTTTCCCTCTCTCTCCTCTCTCGCCGCTGCTCTCGAAAATCTTCCACCAAATCTCCTCCTCCTCCTCCTCCTCCACCTCCTTCGCAGCAGCGGCGGCGGCGGCGGCGGCGGCGGCGGCGTTCGCTTCGCCTGTGCGGCAGACTCTCTCACTCCCTCAAGCCGCGTGTAGCGGAACCGAAGCCCTAGCTCTCTCTCTCTCTCTCTCTAGCGAAATGAACTGCTCAAGTACGTCTCTCTCTCTCTCTGTGTCGAAGCGTCTGTACTTGCTTCGGTGGGGGGTTTCGGTGCATGCCCCCCGAGGTGTTTGATCTGGGCTCTTGATGGGTTTTTGCTCCTCTTGTTGGCTGCAGTATCCGGCGAGGTGCCGGAGGAGCCGGTCGTCTTGACGAAGTCCGGCCACGTCTTCGAGAAGCGCCTCATCGAGCGGTACGTCTTGGTCTGGTCCCCGCTCTCTAGGGTTTTATGTTCCTTCGTTCCGTTTCGTTTGTTCCCCTCTCTTTTTCTTGCTGCGGAGAGACAGATGGATGTGGAGGGAGAGTGAGAGTGAGAGAGAGAGAAAGAGAGAGATGAGCATTTGGGTAGCTGTGACAGTGACATAACCCTACGACCTAGCAATCAGTAGCTTGCGTTTTTTCAGTTGCTAAATAAGTTCTTGGTGATATGGGGTTTCTGAATAAATGGTCGTGCTTCTTTGCGCGTCTTAATTGGTGAGAACGCAGTGGAGAGAAGGAAAAAATAAATTTTGGGTTCTGTGAAAATTTTATCCCTTGTTCTTTTTCTTCTGCGCTTTCTCTTGAATTGAAAAGAAAAACGGATGTCGGCTGAATTGAGCTAGTGGAACTGTAGACGTAGTTTCTCTGATGGTTGTCTAGTTCCTTTGCATGCGCCATGGGGAACAGTGCACAGGTTAAGCTTTTGAGAGTAAGGTATGATAGTAGTTACAATCAAAAGAAGTTATTTTGTTTTTCTGAATAGCTAGTTGGATTTATAGAATACAAGATGCATGTCTGCGTACTTCTATTAATATGAAAAAGGATCGTTCCTTTTTGTTAGGTGGAATCATCGCGTTACTATCTTTCATGAAAATGATAAGGACTCGAGCATCTTTTGACTATTTAACATGTGTGAATGGTAAAGTTTAGGGATTTTTCCTTTGTTCTATATGATGTATATGGTCTTCATGCATAAAATTCTTACACGGATGTCTTCATGTGAGAATAATCAAATTTTCTTGATCATTTGGGTAGGATTTTGGAAAGTGCCCAGTTACCGGGGAACAACTTACCATGTTCCTACTCATATTTGTGAAAAATACAACAGAAACTTTTTGGTAGCTATTATGATTTTGTTGGTGTGAATTCAAGGAATCAACTAGTTCTTGCATTCGAGCTAATAGGAGTTGAGTTGAGCTCAACTTTTCGACCTTTTTGATGACTTGCATTCAGATGTAAATGTTGATGTTCAATTAAGCTCGAGTTGAGTTTCGGTGCCGATTTTCTAGTTAAGTATCTTCCTGCATCATACTTGACTGGGCTCATGTACACGCCTTGGAATATTCTTTGTCTGTCAGTTTTGCAATTGTTCTTACTTGTATACAGAACCTTGAGCATGCATGTATACTCCACAATGTACAAAAGGGCTTGTATTTTGGAACCGCTGTTCCAAGGTAGCCCAACAAGTTCTAGACATTTTTATAGGGCTCATAATTGGACAGTCCTAGGAGAAAGTGTAAGCTTGGGTGTGAGAGGACTACAAACCATTTACCAGACCCAGAAGAAGGCTAAGGCCTGGAACGTCTCTGGCTGTGCTGTTTCATTTGTTCTTATCTTCTTCTTCTTGAGTGTGTACCATCTTGTTACCAACATTGATAGTTCAAATTGCCTGAAAATATGCTTTTAGAAGTTTCTTTCGCAACTAATCAATCATCTGGTCCCTGAATTTGCTTATTCTTTGCTTAATGAGGGATGTTTTTGGACAGAATGACAACCGACAATGAGAGATTAGATTCTGAGATGGAGAAGATGTTGCTACTTTACAAAAGTTTTATGGCTAGGTATACCCTTGGTAATTGATTTTTTCTGTATATGTCGGAATTCAAATTTTCCTTTAAAGTGTCTCTCCGCATCATGTGCCTTTCTGCTTCATTTCATTGCTGTGCTTGTGTCTTGTGAAACTCCATATCACAACTACAAGTATAAGAATGCATATAATCATGTCTTCGTGAATTTTTGGCTTTTTCATCATTGACTATCCTACTTCAGTTAACTTTCTTTTGTCATAATGTCCCATTAATCATACAAGGCTGATTTCCATATGCTTCTCGAGTAGCCAAATATCGAAAGGCAGGTCGTATTCTTTTTCTTGATCAAATGCTGAAGTTTGTCAGCATTTCATTTTATAGGGTCACAAAATTTGATGAAGTGGTAGCTGCAGGAAGCAGGTTTCTCGTCAGCTTTCAACAAGGGCGAGGTTGAATATCTAGAGTTCATTATTTTCTCCCATTTCTTATATCTCAACATCAATCTCATTCTGGCATCCTCAACGGTTCTCTCTTCATCTTTGTGTAGAATTTGTTCGACGGCCTGCTTTAGACGGAAGTTCTAATTTACTCAAGAATATTATCAAAGCAAACGAAACAGAGAGGCTCACATCATACTTCAACGCTGGATGTATCCATGCCAATGATGGGTCCCAGAATTTGGCAAAGTGTAGGGACAAATCTTTCAATTTCCTGAAATAGTGTAGCTCAACTTTTTGTCTAACTACTGTATGCAGGACAGTAGATAGACCCCCATCACTCAATACCCTGTGGTGACAGTATTTAGACATTCATTCTCATCTTTGTGGATGTTGTATTGAAGATGTATTTTTCCAGTGCATTTTCTGCTTAGCTTGAAACTTCAGTGAACTTCTAATTGATTAGACATTTGGCATCTCTTCCGTATATATAAAATTATGTGTACACTCTGATTGGTGATATTCTTTTTTAAATGGAGCATCATTGTCAAAATAGCAACAGTACGTAGTCTACAGACTTGAGGATTTCTAAATATATCTTGGATAGGAATATCTTATTTCAGCCACTATTTCCTACTTATTTGGTGTCATTTTTGCGCCTGAATTGACTGACGGTTTTCTGTTTTCCTTTAATGTGCATACAGAAGTACGTACATGTGTACTTGGTCTTCAAGGCCTTGTGAATACAGGTAATGTTTTGTTTACATAGAATCCAATTCTGAAACCTGTATGCAAGAAATAATGCTTTGACACATAATTTTCAATGTGCTTCTCTCAATATGTACATTTGTTGATTATGGGATTTGTTAGCATCGATTGTCTCTAGACTCAAAAAATCTATCTTTCGGATGGTGTCTGATGTCTCATTGTAGGCAGTTTTCATAGAGTTTAGTGTAGGATCCTTTGGAACAAATGTTTGCCATACTTTGTTTAGATTGATCAAAATCTAGGATATTCTAATCTTCTGTATGTGTACTTTTCCCAATTGAGGGTGTAACTCAAATGCATGTTTCAGTTGAGATTTTGTCCTAATTACATTATAGCTGAAGTTTTAAATCTCTAACACATGCATCATAATCTGATCAAAACAATAAACTTTTGTCATACTCTTTTGAGATTGACCAAAATCTAGGATATTGCAATCTCCTCTAGATGTAATTTTTGCAATGGAGGGCATAATTCAAATGTGTTTTTTTAGGTCTAATTATGTTATAACCAGTCTTTTAAATCTCTAGTACATCAAAATTTGATAAGCGACCTTGTTTAGTCCCCTAAGCATTTCTATTGATTTCTCTTACCAACTACAATTTTGATTTTAAGACGTGTATAATGTGAAGTTTCCTAATTGACGATTTCCGCTACTGTGATGACCATTTTGTTAAGTAATGCTGAACCTTTGTCCAAAAGTTTTTTTTAATATAATGCATGCTGCTTAAAAGGTTTTTGATATATTGATCTGTCTGTATGTTGTTTGTTTTAGTCGGCAAATAAGTGGCACGAGTTGCTGGCAATTTTGCAACTTAATGTTTTCTCTCTTAAAACATATATAGCATTTATAAATCCCAAAAAAGAAACATATGGAGCATTTAAACCTTCTTGAATACTTGATACAAAGCCTGAGTGAAATGGCATAAAAGTTTTTTATATCCGACCCCACTTATGGGGTAAGGCTTAGTTTGTTGTAGTCGGGGTGGTCTTTGTCGTTTTCGTTGTCATTGTGCAGATGCGAGTGCTTAACAACTTTTGGGATTTTGGTTTTCCGGAATTTTACTCTAGTTTTTAGTTAGGGGAGGACGGAGAGAGAGGGAGAAAAGGAAGAAAGAGATAGGTGATAGGGATTCCCACGGTTTTGCCATTTTGCATTTTCTTATTTTCCAGCACCGCAAAATGCGGTTCCTTCTAGACTTGAAATTAAGGCTGTGTTCGTTTGGCGGAAAATGTTTTCCAGGAAAACATTTTCCGGGTTTTCCGGTGTTCGGGGGCGGAAAACATTTTCCCCTCAATGAGGGAAAACATGACCAAATTGGCGGAAAATGATTTCTGCTTCTGAAAAGCGGAAATCATTTTCCGCCAAACTCCTTCCCCCCTCCGGTTGCCGCCGCTGCCCCCCCGGATGTCGGTCACCACTACCGCTGCCGGTCGCCGGCGAAAAATATTTTCCGAAACTTTTTCATATTGGTCGCCGAACACCGGAAAATTATGTTCTGGGAAAACATTTTCCAGGAAAATGACTTCCGGGAAAACATTTTCCAAAAACACAATATTTTCCGCCAAACGAACGGAGCCTAAAAAAAATTATCACTTACGTGAACGGCTTTCTAAATTTGTTGCTGCAGCCAAATCTATACTGATAGAGCTTGAGGGTCTTCTAGAGGATGTAATCAAGGTCTTAGAAGCTGCGAATGAGTATTTATTACCATCTCAGGATGAAGACATTGATGATAGATTGATGGGGGAAGCGACTATTGCTGATGAGGTGGGCTTAGATTTTTCTTTAATGCTATTCTATCTCTGATGTGAAAAATTCAAAATTTCATTGATCTTTAGACAGCATTCTTTTTCTTGACGCACTAATATCTTGTTGCATTCTTCTATGTGCATCTTGAAGCGATAATTGTATCACCTAATCCTTGAGAAGTATAAAGTCAGTATTCATTCATTTCAATGTGCGTTTTCAAACAGAGAGGACCCTCTTATTCTGCCAAATTTAACTACAGATTATTTCATGTATTCAGACATAAGATTTGCATGCAATCTTTTGTTCTGGATGGTCGACGAGTTACATATTGCATGATGTACCTGCTGCTGGATTAGTATTTGGGTTATTTTTTAACTAACTTTAATACAATATCAAACCAACAAACACATGCATTAGTAGAACCAAGCTGAAAATTACAGCTATCAAGACAATCTAAATATTATAATTTGGTCACACGTTCTTTCAAGTTGAACCATTTGATCCAAAGCTAATATTATTTAAGGTGCAGTTATTTGGGTTTTTCTAATGATATGCTCCAACTCGCAAGTTATTTTATTTAAGGTGAACCATTTCATCTCAAGGCCTTGTGGAAACAAGAAACCTTTTTCATTTGGGTAGTAGCGTGGATCAGTTGTCATTGTCAAGCGAGACAGTTTTAACTGTCTTATGTTCAAGGGGATATTGAGTCCTTGAAATGGCATATCTTGTTTGCTAATTATCTTTGACATTAAGGTGCTAATCATCTGTGAATTTCCTTTTGACACCAATTTACTGATTCACATTTGCTATCTGCCCTGGTGGTTTCATTGTACTTTTGAAATGTCCAAAATAAGATTTTTAGTGTATGAAACAGTACAAGTGTTGCATGATCCAACGGCATTGCTGCTCAAATCATACTTAAAAGTTGATAAAAACATGTGTGTAGAATTTGTTTCCCAGGATAGAACATTCGTTTGTACATAGCATACCGTCATCTATGTAATTTATGCATACATGCAAATACAGTAATGAGTGCCGATGAGATGCAACCTGGTTTTGCATTTATTCTACTGTCAGATTTTTCTTTTCATTGGCTGTTCATGTTATTCTGTTTTAAGTTTTGATTTCTTTATCCTTCATTCAGGAGGAAACTGCATCATCTGATTCTGGGAGACCTGAACTCACAGAGTATGCTACCATGATGGGTGTTACTTACAGTATGATTAAACAAGACTTTGTCATGCAGGTATGAAACATATCACTTAGTGCTGAATAAATTGATAGTAATTTTATTTACTTTGTCATGCCTCTTTATATGTATCGATACCTGATTTCCGGTGTTAAATCCTCGATTCTCATCACAGGAAAAGATTGTCTCTGCTCTGAATCTGAGGCTATCATCCGGAGAATTAGAAACCTATTGCACTATGTGGTCTCTGCATCCTTTCATTGATGATGAAATCATGCATCAGGCTTGGTCATTCATTCCTTGACCATTTCCCTTATGCAAATTGTTGCCATATGACATGTTTGTCGACCAAGGAAGGATGTTGAGGACTATCTAGAGGTGGCAAACATGAGGGTCAACAGTATTTGGATTTTTTCAGGTTGGGGTCATTCCTTGTTCTGCGTCCTCAACTCCAGATTACGGGTTGGCTCTAGGTTTAAAGTCATCTGGGGTTTACCTTTCGTTGGATAAAGGCCAGTTTTTACTCAGATATAGCTCAGTTGCAACTTTCTTCAGGTTTATGATAATCCTGATTTCGTTTTTTCGGAAGTGTCCAGTCAGATCAGACAATACTAGGATTGTAAAGCGTTATATAACTTTTCATGTCAAATCTAAGTTCTTTCTTCCATAAAGGGCATTCCCCAAGCTATTGTGCAGCAATGTAGCTTCGTGCTGTGTTCTATGAAAAGTTTAGATAATCATAGAACTATGATTAGGGATACTTACACATATGTTTGGAGAGTGAAGAGATTGTGAATTCTAACTCTATATGAAACATAAACTGCCTTAGATCTCACTCCGAGAGTATCATATACTTTCGCCGTTGTAGTTTGGCCAATGTATCACCAAAAAACCCCATGATTAATATTATGTTTCATTTAGAGTGATTTAGAGGAGATTAAAGAGGGTTTGCAAATAACCTTCTATTTGCTTTAATAGAGGGGAGAGGAACGATTAGAAGTTTCCCCTCGGATTATCCCCGTAAATATTTAGTGAGTTCTAAATCCCTCCATAAGTAGGATGATTTGGCTAGAAAATCGATTTCCTTCCATTTCTCTTCTATCTTAATCTGTCTTGCCAAACACAACGGATTAATTAATCCATTGTTTTCTCTTCTTTTCTTTTCTCAAACAATTTATCAAATCTTTTATCCTCTTCAAAATCATTCCATTCAAATATAATGTTCTTTCAAGCCAAGAATAGAAAGTATCAGTATGGATCACACATTTTTTTATGATGCCAGGTCGAGGAACTCGAACTAGGATGAGAGAGAAACACATTGACATAAGGATTGATGTTCAAGTTATCTTGAATCCCTCATGATAGACGTTTATCACATTACATTGGAGAAAGCCGAAGATTGAGATGGAAGGAATTAGTTACTCATAATTAATACTTGAAGAATTGCTATAAACTTTGAAAATAAATTTAAATGATAGTTTTAAGAATCATTGGATTCTCAAAAGATGACATGGCAGTCATTTGAAGATATTAAATTGACCCTCAAATTAAGAGAATCGCGATCAGAGTGATAAAAATAAAATAAGTTCAATAAAATCTGACAGCTAGCACATTATCAAAGGCTTTACGAATGATCACAAGCCTATGTGAGAATTGAGTTCCTCCTATTTAGGGAAAAATAGAATACAAAATCCTACGTTTCCATTTTTTGGAGATTTTGAAATTAAAAAGGGTCTTGTTAATCCATGCTTAATAAATAAATATTTTCATTTTCAATACACCGATTGTGTATTACACGAAAAAGACAATACTTTGAAAATGACAAATTTTCTTTTAATTAGATGTTAAACAAGTGTCCCAAAGACACTCATTAATGTGATCCACATAATAAATGGGAACAGAAAATTTTTATCAAAAGCTTCTTGATTTGGCTTCGGTTTAGCCCGAAATTGAAAGTGTAAATCAACACTCCTTATCAAACTAGTCGTTAGGATAGGCCAAAGACCACATTTGTGTCCAAAATGAATAAAGACATTAGGAGCAAGGGGCTTCATAATTATGTACGTTAATTGTAATAAGGATGGTACATACTAAATGATGACAGAACCAAGGGCGACATTTTACCGAACAAAGTTAGAGTCAATTTCAATATGTTTCGTTGTGGCACCAAACACGGGATTGGTGGTTACGAGGTTGTTGGACCCCACTATCCCTAAAAATGAAGGACATTTAAGTTAATTCTGCCGCCATAACAAACAATGCACAATATTTCGTTTCAGCTGTTGTATGAGCAACTATCACTTGTTTCTTTACAATTCAAGTTATACAATTCACTCCAAGAAACATGCAATAACGTGAAGTGCACCGACGTGTAACCTTACATCCTGCCCAATTTGCATCAGCAATGCGAACAAATGAAGATTGCTTCACTATAAGATTTGAAGCCCAGGATGTAGAGTGCCTTTAATATTTTTTGTCAACCGTGGCCTCTTTCCACTGAGAATGTGTAAGAGCAAAGGCAGTGCTGCAAGTTTAGAGGGAATGGATGATCAGGGGATGCGAAGGAATAATAGCTATGGAATCGACTGCGATACCAGATGTCTCATAAGAAGCTGCAACTACGGTAGTGGTCGGTCTCGCGGACACTGCATCAGTGAGGGAGACTAGAAGAGTTTCTTGGCACATTTCCAGAGATGAGGAAGTTTAGTGATATAACTCAGTAACGATATCATCATTACAGAGCCTTGCATGTTCACGGGCCAAATTAGAAAAGATAGTAAGATACGGGCTGAATAGATGTGGAGATAAGCATAGTAGCAGGTAGCTTTGTCGTTTCTTGAGTTTTTTTTTGGGTCGGAGTCGTTTCTTGAGTTGGATCAGAGTTGTTCCGACAATCAAAAGCAGCTTTTGAATTACGGAACCAATCATCACAGCTGTGATGCTGTTGACAGTAGCATGATCCTTGGACTTATATGCAACAGGGAAATAATTTTCATGAAAAACAACATGCCTAGAGATATAAGCACGTTCAACAGAACAAAACTCCACGATTCTGTTTTTGATTCTATTTTTTTGTTCCCAGAATCAGTTTGGGAACAGAAATGCGTTTATTTAATTTTTTGATTCTGGGCACAATTTTATCAAAAATTGTTCCCACAATCAGTTTTCAAGAATAAAAAAAAAGTAGCCTTTTGATTCTGGGAATAATTTTGAGAATCAATTTTTTTTTCTTCTTCCTTTTCTTGATTTTTAATGTAGCTTCTAATGTCCGGCCCGAGGACCGTCCTCGCCGGATCTAACGAGAATAAAATATTTTAATAAAAAATATTATTAAAATAAAAAAAATTTTACCGGTCATGGCCAAAAAAAAGAAAAAAAATATTATTAATAAAAAAAATTTTACCTGCCATGGCCGGTGACCAGGCCATGGCAAAAAAAGAAAACATATATATTTTTAATACAAATATTATAATAAAAAATATTATTAATAAAAAAAATATTTTACCGGCCATGGCCAGCGAGCAGGCCATGACAAAAAAAATAAAAATGTATATTTTTAATAAAAAGTATTATCAATAACTATTTTACAGGCCATGGCCGGTGATGAGGCCATACCAAAAAAAAGAAAAAAAATATATATTTTTAATAAAAAAAATATTTTACCAGCCATGGCGGCGACCAGGCCATGGCAAAAAAAATATAAAAATATTTTAATAAAAAAAATATTTTACCAGCCATGGCCGGCGACTAGGCCATGGCCAAAAAAAATTAAAATATATATTTTTAATAAAAACATATTATTAATAAAAAAAAATTTTACCGGCCATGGCCGGCGATCAGGAAATGGCCCAAAAAAAATAAAAAATGTACATTTTTTATAAAAATATTATTAATAAAAAAATATTTTACCGCCCGGCCATGGCAAAAAAATATAAAAATATTTTAATAAAATATTTTACCAGTCATGGCCGGCGACCAGGCCATGGCAAAAAAAAAGAAAAAATACTTTTAATAAAAATATTATTAATAAAAAAAATTTACAGGTCATGGCCGGCGAGCAGGCCATGGCCAAGAAAAAGGAAAAAAAAAAGAAAGAAATATTAAAATATTTAAAAATATTATTAATAAAAAGAAATTTTGTAGCGTTACCAAACGCATTTTTGTTCTTTTTCTATTCCAGAGATGGAATTTTGGGCCGTTAACAAACGCCATAAAATGCTTAGAATCAATTCCGGGCACAGAATAAAAAAGAATCATTTTTGAGCAGAATCCGTTCCCGGACACAGAATCGTTGTCATGCGCAGCCTAATTCCTAATTTTTGGAAACCTATCATGTTTGCCTAATTCCAGAATGAAAGGGGCGATCTCGTAGTTCTTGATGCGTGAAGATACGTTGTTAGGTGCTCCATTTTATTTTCCCATTGAGGCCGAACCTAAACCCGTGCTCGAGAGATAGTTGTCCATACACGATAAGGGATGTATGGATTCTCGAGAAGAGAGGAGCCGTGGGGGTCCCCCCCGGACCGCCCGGATCCCACGAGTGAATAGAAAGTTGGATCTACATTGGATCTCACCTGAATCGCCCCATCTATCCTCCTGAGGAGAGGTATGGAACAAACTCTATTTTTTCAGTCCGGTTCAGTTTATCTGAAAACCTATTTTTCAATTGTTAAAATATGTCTAGAATTTGAATTAGGAAACTTTTTTTTTCTGTCTCAAACTTGAGACATATTTTAACAATGTTTCATAGTCCCCAATTTTACCCAATAACTCACACAGTGTTTAAACCTACAATTCATCAAGAAATAATCTCTAAATATTATATGAATCTTACTACAATATTTAATTAGCTTCAACGCTAAAAGCTTTTAGAATGTAATTCACGAAAAAACCTCTTTGATCCTCTTCACAAAAAACATTACCTTCTTATATGTAGGTAAGAATTAGATCCAAAATAGGAAACCTCTTTTTACAACACTTTCTCCAACTAAGAAATCATTCAAGTATAAAACATATATGAAACATATTTGAATTAGGAAACTTTCATTTTTGAATTTGAACTCAAGACATATTTTAGCATCTTTTGTTCCTTCTCTAATTTCATTTTTTACCGCAAGAAAGGGCAATTTTTTACAGGCTCTCTCTCTCACCACAAACGATTTTTTTTTTCATTTGTCTTCTCTCACAGTCTCTCTCTCCCTCCGTCGTTGTCACCGCCAAAGACGACTCGGAGAGATTAGAGAAACGGCGTGGTGGTTCTCCTATACGATGAAGATCTCCTCGTTGACGATTACCGTTGACGGTTCCCCTTGCTTGGCATCGGCATTTCAATGCCAGAGTGTTGCTCCTCTCGTAAGTTCAACGCGACTTCCGCTGCTTCCTCATT